TAGTCTGCAACTGGAACGTTTAAATCAAGCCCTTCGTCAGAAACGCCCTTCACTCATCAATCGGAAAGGTGTTCTTCTCCACAACAATACACGTCAACATGTGGCACGTTTGACGCAACACAAGATTATAGAGTTGGGTTAGGAAGTTCTCCCCCACCAACCATATTCTCCAGATATGGCACCATCAAATTGCCATCTTTTTCCTTCGCTGCAAAACCATCTTAATGGGAAAACGTATGCAAATGTGGAAGGTGTTAAAGAGGACATCGACATGTTTTCTGCTTGAAAGCCAAATGATTTCTTTAATCGGAGCATTAACAACCTGATTGTAAGATGGAAAAGCATCATTGATAAGAATGGAGACTATTTCATTTAATATACGTTTTGTTTTGAAATATAACTTTTTCGGCTTTTTTTTCCTCCTAAAAAAAGCAACATTAATTTCTTCACGACCTAATAGAAGGAGAAACTTCGTTTGTGGAAGTTGAAAAAGAGCTTACAAGCTCTGTTCACGAGACCTTGTAATGTTGAACAAATTCTATCGTACCTAATCAGTTGTGAGCAAACATTGTGGTATAATGTATTTGGAATATTTTTATTTGGAAATGGAAAGGTTGTAGCTTCAAAACCATAAAATTGTTTTACTGGATACATTGAATTTGAATATTTGATTAACGATGCTGATATCTATATCCAAGTAACGTGTATTATCCAAAGTTAGAGAACGTTTTTTCAGGATGAGTTCTGGTGAATCAATATAATTGGCTGTATCAAAAAAATCGCGATAATTAAATATACGAATATCATCATTATACCTACAAGTACAACTGATGCACAAACTTTATGGAGTTACTGATGATAATGAACGGATTAATATCAGTTATTTTTTATATAAATTACAGCATTAGTTTGAATGCTTTTTAGTGCACTTCAAATTATTACCTATTAGAACTCGCTACTCCTTAGTCGCAACATTAAGCATTTATAATAAACGTGTATTTGAAGAGTGTTTTACGCCGTTTGGGAATCCAAAATGATTTAGGTATTACATTATCAGATTTTACAGAATGTGGAGCCAAAGTCTAGTAAAAGTGTAATGTGTTTCTGTATGATAATTTCTTTATCATTTTTAACGTATTTATATACCCCTTACCTGAAGGTTCTAATGTATTTATATACCCCATTGCCTGAAGATTTTAACGTATTTATATATCCCATTACCTGAAGATTTTAACGTATTTATATACCCCATTACCTGAAGATTTTAACGTATTTATATACCCCATTACCTGAAGATTTTAACGTATTTATATACCCCCTTACCTGAAGATTTTAACGTATTTATGTACCCCCGGGTATATAAATACGTTAAGTCCTTCAGGTAATCCTTACCTGAAGATTTTAACGTAATTATATACCTCCTTACCTGAAGGACTTAATGTATTTATATACCTTCTTACCTGAAGGTTTTAAAGTATTTATATTAAACCCTAGTTTTTTACTTAAAATTGTAACATAATTCTTTTCACAAATGAAAACATTTGTCAGCTGTTTCAGCGGCGGGAGTGATGACATATGTGCTATGTTAATAATCTAAGTAGTCGGTAACTTGTGTGCTATTCATAATATGTCCATTGTTACAAAGCCCATTTAGCTCTTTGCTCTTCCGTAGCTACGGAACCCATTTAACTCTGTGGTACGTAACCCATTTAATTCTGTTTTCTGTGGATATAGAACCCATACTCTGTTCTCTCGTGGCTACGGAGCCCAGGTTTATTCGGTTGAGAAGAATAAGGATTACTTAAAAATTGGCAACAGGCTAAAGAAATACTATTTTCATTATTAACTCGATCGTTAAGCCCATAGTAATAAGTTGTAAATTGTGTTTGCATCCGGTTGAACATAAGTCAGACTATTTTGCGACACAACTTTGCTGAGTTTTTCCTACATCTCATATCCTCGTGAAACAGCTCTGCATGAGCTTGAAGTCCTGCATTTTGTAACAACCGATACTTAAGTCGTGATACAATAAAAAAAAACACTCCTTTCAATATTAAAACTTTTACTATTACTGATAATCTCTTAAGATATTTTGATAGTAAATTAAGATTTGACATCCAAATTACATCATTTAATAAAGAAATATGACACATAAGACATCACGTTTCGTATGTTCACATTCGTACCAGAAACAATTTGCTATAGTTTCAGAACGTTATTGATTGCATCAACTTTGTATACCTTTACTCCTGAAGAAGACAGATCCAACCTATCAAAAGTGCTAGGGTTTTATCATTTTTTTTTTAAATGTGATTTACCAACATTTTGGATCCCATATGTTTTTAACTATCTTTACCACAGTAATTCAAATTGTGGATTGAAGTGATTTTGTTTTTGTCATATACTAATAATTTTCAATGAACTTTGTTGCAAGAGCAAGTAATTTATGAAGAACAGTACAGAATCCGAAACGTCGTCTTCAGAAAGAAGGAAGATTTCATACAAAACTTATTAAAACTGATTTTTTTTACTCTTTATCTATGCATGATGTTTAGCTTTCATCATTGTCGTAAAAATATGAACAATTAAATTTTGATTTCAAATATCTAGAAACCTCGGAAATGGATAACTGGAATAAGATGTCAACTTTGAATAAAATAAAATACAAAATCTTGTTATTGCTTCATTTATATGACCTTCTGAACGGCACTTTTCATTCTGTAAAGTAAAAAAGAAAACTGTGTTTCTTTGTTTCTTTGGGTTTGTATTGTAAGCGCAAAGCTATACGATTGGCTATCTGTGTTGTGCCCCTCGCGGGTAGCGATACCCCTATTTTTTGGGCTATAAGCCCTCAAACTTACTGCTGAATCACCAGGAGGATAAAATTTCAAATACTGTTTGGTCAGTTGTGTGAATTTGTATACATTATATATTTATTTGTAAAAACTATTTTGCTTTCATATTCTTTATCATTGAAAGAAATAATGACGTACTTTGATACTCATCTGTGACAGTTGACATTTCACCTTTGACCTGTTGGTGATTAAGCATTTTATCATACCATTAGTTGAATGAATAAATGCAATAATTCTGTTCAAATCTATTGGTTTCTCCAATGTAGATTATAGATTCAAAATGACCTCAAGTCAATATATATATATATATATATACATTGTTTTTTGGGTGGAGGGATATATTATTATACTAAGTAACTTCATCTCTCTTCATTGTATCACATGATTGATTTTCATCTAGTCAGGTTTAACTAATCTTTCAACGTCGCTCTCTCTTTTTTAATACCCTCCAGCCTCCTCGAGATGACCAATGGAATGGAAAGATTAGCGGTTATTACATCGGTTATAAACCAATTGACGAAAATACGTACGTGTACAAAACGTTTCATGTGAAGAACGAGACAGCACAAGAGCAGTTCCATCTGACTAATCTTAAGAGATCAACGATCTATTACATCACAATCCATGCTTTCAACAGCAAAGGACCAGGTCCAAGATCTGACGAAGTACAAGTCAAGACACTAGATGATGGTAGCGCAGAAACTATTTATATTACTCCTTAGCACATACCAGACCGATATATTTACCAGTCAAGTTACTAAAGTATTAATTAAGACCACCAAGCTTGTACATTTAGAAGTGTTTCTTTCCTTACATTTATGAAGCTTTGTTTATTTTACTATCACTTTCAAAAAGAAATGTTTCCCGTCTTCTGGCCTGACGTAATCGTTATACATCGCAATGCTGGTTAGCATAATAATCGTTAATTCTGTTGTTTAAAATTTCATGTTATTCTCAGTCATAAATCAACATTCACTTGCGTAATTACAGCTTGTCCTCTATGGTTCTTTTAACTTGTCTATTGTCGGCCCTCTGGAGGTGGTGATCAAACTAAAAAATTCGATTACGCTTAAGAAACTAAAGGGTCTTATTCTCGAATCTTTAAAAATGTCCACAGTTAACCTATTCTAATTGATACTCAAACAAACAATAAATGAAAAGTCCACTGATCTCATGACTCAGTTACTCAAATTTTGTTTATTAAATATTTCACGCCAGATATAAAGAAACTAAGTAAGAAACATGTGCTACAAACGTCTCCATTGAACGAACTTTTGTACACTTATTACACTTAAAGATTTTTTTTGCAGATTAAGATATCTACATTACAACAGTGTGCATAGTTTGGGTTCCATTTTCAAGGTTCTCATTTTCTTGATTTGAGCCTAAACTGGAAATATGACAAAAAATAGGGTTACTTATTATTTGAAACTATCATGTGTTCATTTAAGAAATTCACTAGACAATTCCAAAATACAAAATATTGATATGTTATTGTCTAAACATACTTTAAATGCCTTATTTTTAACTCTGTGTATTATAATTTATGCTATTGTATTCGCAAAGATGACGATTGGCTTTTATCGACCTTATTGTAGTGTAGTTGAGTCAGGAGGTCGCCCGGACACTTTTTTTTCGAAAGTTGGTGCACACCTTGTTTTTTGTTGTTGTTGTTGTTTTTGTATGGTTTTTATTGTGAATTATAAATAACACATAAAAGTGGTAGATGTTTTATAAATCACATAAAACATATTAGATTTTTATCCTTCTTTAGAACAAAATAAACATATAAAGAAACACTAAAAAGATAGAAATTGTCTAATTAAAATATTGTCTGTTGAGACGTCTCTTCATATATTCCGCTTTTGAAAACCTCACAGCCCTAGTATTTGTTGTTGTTTGTTATTGCTTACAACCACACCATTGCTTAATAGCTCAGAAAATGGATAACCTAGAATTATTCAGTTTTGAGCTAACATCCACAGCTTTATGGTACAAAATTAGACTTTAAAATCAATTGTTTTCATTATATTCTTCATTCTTTTAATAAAAAGTAATTTTTGTTTATTAATGCAAAATTGTCTTTCAGTTCCTCCTAGTGCTCCTCATTTGAAATACTTGTCAGTGTCAACTTCTTCGATAACTCTTCAGTGGTCTCAACGTACAACATTTGGTACCAACGTAGTAGGTGAGACTTTATAATTTTCTTTGTATCATCGATCCTTCTGCTTAGCCTCTAAACAATCTTAATAACTGTCTGTCAATAAAACCTACATGGGTTAGATATGATATGAATGATGCTGAATGCTTCAACTACACATTTTTTTTTAGCATTTCTTATGCTGGACAGCTGGTTGGAATTTTACAGCAATGGCATTACTTTATTACATTTTTCCACGGATTTTTGGGTGACGTGACAGCCCTAGTTAAACCTATAGCTTTAGTAAGCTTATTCCTTCCTAACATTTTATGCGTTTTCTATGGATTTCTATTCGGTTTGCAGAATATCATGAAAATATTAATACAGTCTGCAAATGTTTTTTCTCCCTTCGTGATATGTTTATCAATATATGTAACAGCTGTTTTTAAAGTAAAATACCAAATTTTCACTACTTGCTTTTTATGAAGCTTTACATACGAATGTGACAGAAATAAAAGTTACCACAATGACAATGGTGACATTTTTATGACTATTTCAAATTAACCCGTGATAGATAAATGATGGCACAGCCATATTTAGTAAAATTTAGGGTTGACCTCGATATCAGTTGATGTCCTCTGAAATTGGCCCTAAACCACAAGTGGGGGGGGGGGGGGTCGTATCTTATAAGATACGAACTATTCAGTGTTTTATCAAATATTATTATAAAACAACATCTTATCTGAGAAATTCGCTTCCAGAGACAAGAAGAACAAAACAGTTTATAAGCAATCAATTTCCATTATTTTATTAATATATGAAAATCTAATATCATAGCTATCTTTTAGTATACATTCGACAATCAACGAAAGAGGCTTTGTAACTTATTTGATTTAGGTAAAAAATAAGGCAAGATTCTTCCTTGCAATCTTCCATCTGTTGTGGGTCATTACTGTGTTGTTGTTATAATCTACGTTGTTTTGTCATGGGAACGTGTTTTGGTATGATCATGTGTCTTTAAAACTACCTTAAACGAGGAACTCAATTCTGTAGACATTATCACCAATGTAATAACTGTAAAAGGTGTCCGAAACGTCTGGAACAACAGACACTTATTATTCTAAGCTAGTTTGGATTATCAGCGGAATTATTTCGAACTTCTCATGCTTTGACAGCGCCATAATCAGTCACGTATATGAAATTAAGAAAAGCTGCAAATTACCTATGTTCCAGACCTTTTGGACACTCTGTAGATTGACAGTATTACTAAAGTCAGTACTTTAGAAAGAGCGACAACCAAATAAACAAAGAAAACCTGACCACCTAGTAGAGTTTAAAAAAGACATTTTTCACAACAAGGACCTTGCAGAGTGAAGAGAAACTCCAGTTTCTGACCGCTCCTGATTATATTCCGAGCCTCTTTGAGGCCTGAAATATTCAAGATCAAAATAACTGCCAAGAATAATTGGAATTGAAGGACCTTGCACCTAACATTTACAAGGCATATTTCATCCCAAAGCCAAGGACTTCAAACCCACAAAAATACTGCTTTGGAGCCTTATGGGCTTGTCATTATCAATAGTCATGTGATTCTGATGGACATTATGAGTCACTCATGAACATCGTAAATTACTCATATATTACTCCTTAGAAATGTGAGACAGTTATTAGTCTAAAATTATTCACACATATATTACTCATATATTATTCATTAGAAATGTGGGATAGTTATTAGTTTCAACTTGTTCACACATATATTACTCCTTAGAAA